TTCGGTTCCGTACTATAATTAAATTTTTTAACATTTAAAATAATGCTACATAAATACACCTGAAAGTAGATACTAATATTAATAACAAAAAGTAGATACAAATATCAAGTTCAATCTTAACTTTTACAAATTAACGTAATCTAATTTAATAACATATCAATAATAAGTTGTCAAATACAAATACCAAAAAGTAAATATTACTAATAAAATTTCGATAATTCATATCAATAATTAATTTGTTTCAAAACTTCAAGTCTACATAAAAATGAAATATAAATTAGAAGTCATAAAGATAAAATATTTTAAAGTATTGATAATACTTACCAACTATTTAATGTAATCATCAGTTCGTTGACTTTTCATACTAACTATTAAGAAACTATAAAAGAAAAAATTGAAAAAACACAACTAACAAACATAAATAAACTCTAAATTGTTCAACTAATAAGATTTAATAAAAAAAAATTATTAATTTGTTTAGAAAAATAAAAGAAATTGATTTATCCAATATTAAAAAAAAAATTCGGTTCTTATTCGATTTTTCGGTTCTGGGTCTAGAACCGAGAACCGAAACAAACCATTCGGTTCTCGATTCGGATACCCGTTCGGGTATTTTATTTTAAAAAATCCGCTCGATTCGGTTCGGGTCGGTTCGGTTCGGATATTTTGCCCAGCCCTACCAGGCATGGTGTATTGGGGAACTATCTCATGATCTTAAAGAAACTTAGCAAATGGACCAGGTGCTTGTCCATCCTCTGTGTATCTATTGTAATATTCTCCACCCCCTATCTGATCTTACGATCTTAATCTGCTTCTCATATTGTTACTCTACTTCAGCCTTAAATGTTTTAAAGGTATCCAATGCTTCACTCTTATTATGAAGCAAAAGAGATACATATATCGAGAGTAATCACCAATAAAGATATTGAAATATTTTTGACCATGTGAGCCCATGTCTGGACTACATATATTAGTATGTATGATTTCTAATATGTCCAAACTCATGTTGGCACATTTCTTGGACTTGTTGGTCTGCTTTCCCTTAATGCAGCCTACACATGTATCAAAATCAGTGAAATCTAGAGTACTAAGTACCCCCATCATTCCTTTAATTTTTATTTGATTTCTATTTCCAGACTTGTACTCTTGGGATATTCTTTTAATTTTTCAAACACGTTCCCATAGCCTCCACATTTACATATAAAATTAATTCTATGTGCCCGGTCATATTCTTCTAAATTAATTGACTTATCGAGTTCAAACTAATCACACTCAATTAAATCATACTCACTATATATTTACGTGAATTAGAATAAACTTTAATTAATAGCATTTAATCACCAAATAATTTAATTAAGGACCACAAAATATTAAAAATGTATTTCTACCTTCTACCCAGATTTCGATTTTACTACGTGATATAAACAAATAACTCACATCTAACTCTTTTTCGTTCACAAACCAATGAATAGTGATCAAGTAATTCAAACCACGAAGTAATTCACAAATATTAAGTAGAGATCAAAATCGTCGGTCCCAACTAATTGTTTAATTATAAATTGTTAGAGAAGAAAAATAAAAGAAAAATCTGGATCACCGAGTTTAAAAGGACAAAAATAAGATAAAAATCTTGTACCAATAATTCACTTTCTTATGAAAATCTTGAAACTCTAGCTTTTTTAAAATTTTCCCATGATTTTTCTCTCCAAGTTTTGGCTTTTGGTGTCTTCCCTCATTTAATTTGACCTAGTCGAGATCCTTATATAGTGATGAGAATGTCATGGAGTTGTGCCTTGAAAATAAGTCAATATTGATAAAAATAAAAAATAAAAAGGAAAAAAAATCATAACTATATATATATACCAATCTTATCTCACCTTCAAATCGAAATCTTAACTTATCTTCTCTCACATTCAAAGAAACGAAATTTCTCATTTTTTCAGGCACAGATAATTCGGTGAATTAAAATATTTCAGGCCCAAATAGTCTGGTGATTCCGAATAATAGAGATATTTTTCTTCGAATTCAATTTCAATTCGGCCAGAGTAGTCGGAACTCGGTAGTCGAAGAATCTAGTGACTGGAGATCTCTATATTTTACTGTGAAGCGATCATGTAGTCATTTTTCTTTCGTTTTATTCACGAAATGTATATTCTTGGATATGTTGAATTGAAAGATTATTTAAATGAGATTTACTGGTAATCTGAGATTCTGAAATATTGAATTCATCTTGTGACATAAAAATTCATAATTTCTAAACAGGTTTCTGTATTTCATAAAAATCTCAGCATCAGTATGACCCATTGAATGTGTGTTTTGTGTCATATATGATCATGTTCTGTTTAAT